AACAATCCCATTTACCATTGCGGCAAAAAAATTAAGATACCTAGGAATAAACTTAACCAAAGAGATAAAGGACCTATTCGCAGAAAACTACAGATCTTTGAAAAATGAAATAGAGCAAGATGTAAAAAAGTGGAAGAACATACCCTGTTCATGGATTGGGAGAATTAACATCATTAAAATGTCCATATTACCCAAAGCAATCTATAGATTCAACGCAATCCCCATCAAAATACCAACGGCATACTTCAAAGAATTAGAACAATTACTTCAAAAGTTCATATGGAACCAAAAAAGGCCTCGAATAGCCACAGCAATCTTGAAAAGGAAGAACAAAGTTAGAGGGATCACAATACCAGATTTCAGGTTATACTACAAAGCCACCATAATCAAAACAGCCTGGTACTGGCACAAGAACAGGTATATAGACCAGTGGAACAGAATAGAGAACCCAGAAATGGACCCTAGGCAATATGCTCAATTAATATTTGACAAAGGTGGCAAGAGCATACAGTGGAGTAAGGACAGCCTCTTTAATAAATGGTGCTGGGAAAATTGGACAGCTACTTGCCGAAAAATGAAACTAGACCATCAACTTACACCCTACACCAAAATAAACTCAAAATGGATAAAAGACTTAAATGTAACCCATGAATCCATAAAAATCCTAGAGGAGACTGTGGGCAACAAAATCTCAGACATCATACGCAGCAGAATTTTTACTGACACATCACCTAAGGCAATAGAAACAAAGGAGAAAATGAACACATGGGACTACATCAAACTCAAAAGCTTCTGCACAGCGAAAGATACAATCATCAAAACGGAAAGGCTACCCACTGTATGGGAGAGCATAATTGCCAATGATATATCAGATAAGGGGTTAATTTCCAATACATATAGAGTGCTCACACAACTCCACAAAAGGAAGACAAAGAATCCAATTAAAAAATGGGCAGAGGAACTAAATAGACACCTCTCCAAACAGGACATACAAATGGCTAAGAGACATATGAAGAAATGTTCATCATCACTAATCATCAGAGAGATGCAAATCAAAACAACAATGAGGTATCACCTCACACCGGTCAGAATGGCCGCCATCAACAAATCATCAAACAACAAGTGTTGGCGAGGGTGTGGAGAAAAGGGGACTCTAGTACACTGTTGGTGGGAATGCAGACTGGTGCAGCCACTATGGAAAACAATATGGTGTCACCTCAAAAAATTAAAAATTGAACTCCCATTTGACCCAGTGATCCCACTTCTAGGAATATACCCTAAGAAGCCTGAAACACCAATCAGAAAGAATATATGTACCCCCATCTTTGTAGCAGCACTATTTACAATCGCTAAGATCTGGAAACAGCCCAAGTGCCCATCAGTAGACGAATGGATTAAAAAGCTGTGGTACATATACACAATGGAGTACTACGCAGCTGTAAGAAAGAAAGATCTCTTGTCCTTTGAGACTACATGGAGGGACCGGAAAGTATCATCCTGAGTGAAACAAGCCAAGCAGAGAAAGACAAATTTCATATGATCTCACTGATTTCTGGAATATAATGAACATAACAGTTTGAGGACAATCCCCTAAGGAGTGGGGAGCTGAGAGAGGGATGAACAACAGAATTTATATGCATATAGGCATGAACAGTGGACATGGACAACAATCGGGGGAAGGGGCGGGGAGGGAAGAGGGAGGGGGGAACCACTGGGGGAAAAAAGGAGAATCATTTGTAACAAAAATTATTCAATAAAAAAAACTAAAAATAAAAAAAAAAAAAAAAAAAAAAGAAAAACAAAAAGCTGCCTGGCCAGTGTGGCTCAGTGGTTGAGCACTGACCCATGCACCAAGATGTTGCTGGTTCGATTCCTGGTCAGGGCACATGCCCAGGTTGTGGGCCAAATCCTCAGTGGGGGGCAGGCAGGAGAAGGCCAATCAATGTTCTCTCTCATTGATGTTTCTATCTTTCTCTCCCTCTCCCTTCTTCTCTCTCTAAAATCAATAAAGGAAGAAAAAAAAAGAAAGGAAAACTAAACACAGTACACTAGTTTACTCTGCAGTGAACATTTACATGGTCATAATAAGGTATATTTTGATTATAGTCTAATTATAGTGGTATAACTATATTTAGAGGATAGGGTAACAAGAAAGGAGGGTTGGTAAGAGGGCTAAATCTCCCACTTTTTATGCTACACAGTCAATTGGTAATGTTTAAAATAGGTAAAAACAACAACAAAAAACCGAGGTATGAACAAATACAGAGGTATTTAGACATATGGCACTAACTCCTAAAAGAAGTAGCTTATGAGTTAAAAGTTGCAGTAAATGAACATTGTTCAGAATAAGCCTTTTGGTATTTTTTAACTATGTAAATAAACAGTATGTATTATTTGATTTTTAAAATCACACATCCTACAGAAAGAAGAAAGAACAGGACAACATTGTCAAAGATGAAGGCAGACAAGGAGAGTGACTGCTCATTCTCTGATGGAATACATAACACAGTGTATGCCTACTCAGGGCAGGGCTTGAGGCAAATATGAGCCATGCAAATGTGGCAGGATAATTTAATGAAATACAGTTTTATTTGTTCTGCTTTTGTGTTTCTTCTTATAGCAAGCAAAGTTTTGGGCAGGGCTAAGAGTAGAGGAATCCTGATGTCAAAGGCCCTTCTACCTTCACAAAAGTTGAAAGCAAGTCTGGGAAGAAGTTATGCCCTGAAGAGGCTGGGCTCAGGGAGGGTTTTGGAAAGAGATTTTTTTTTTTTTTTTTTTTTTTTTTTATCCTCACCCGAGGATATTTTTCCTTTTTTTTTTGTACAGATAGAGTGGGAGGGAGAGAGAGACAGAAACATCGATGTGAAAGGACACATCAAGTGGCTGCCACCCGCACGACCAACCAGGGCCGGGGACAAACTGCAACCGAAGTACATGCCCTTAGCGGGAACCGAACCCGGGTCTCTCCAGACCGCAGGCCGAGGCTCTAACCGCTGAGCCAAACCGGCCAGGGCTGGAAAGAGATTTTTAAGACAGTGGAGGGAATTGGTATGTAGGTCCAGACAGCATGGGCAATGGGTTCTAGTCCCTGGCTATGATGAAGCAAATGGCAGGACCTGAGTAGATGGTTCTGCAATATATCTGGGGAAACCAGGTCCAAACCCAGAGGTTTTCATAACTGAATTCCCATGTCTCAAAAAAGAACAAATTAAGAGTTTGATAGCCCAGGACCTGGAGAGTCATACCTGCTGGAATCACAGGGGCCACAGCATTCAGTGATTGATGTCCAATGATAGGATGGGGTAGGGAGCAATAAGAAGCCTCCCTTGTGCCTTGTTTCTATGACTTTTGCTCAGCCCATGGTAGATGCGATGTCAATAGTGAATGATGTTGAATTTCCCTGATGTGGAAGGGGTTTGGCATAGAAATCATTTTAAAATGCAATAATCCTTGCACATCTGCATTAGTAGACTAATATCACACCTGCTGCAGGAGGAGGGAGGATAGGTAGGGAGGAGCCCCTGTTTTCACCTGCCTCAGGAGGAGCAGACAGAAAACACTTTAAAGACTTTATGATAAGTGGTGACTGCTGTGGCATGCTCAGGCTCCCAGGATGGGGGTGGGGGTGGGGGAGTGGGTGGTAGGGCAGCCCCCTCCAGCTTCTTGTCCTTTTCTTGATCTGTTCCCTTTTTTCCCACATGATATGGCCCATCTGATGACCTTCCCTCTCCCTACCTAGGGGTAAGGGGGAATAGGAGAATCTCTTCTCTGGGGAGGAAATGGTAGAGTGGAGCCATGTAGGTGTCTTCTTGGAGAGGAGCCTGATTTAGATCTGAATTCTGGGGTTCCAAATATCTGCCATAGGAGACTTAGTCCTTAGTCGCAAGAGAATAAAGCGGCTGAAGTATTCTGGGCCCCAGCCAGGGGAGAAAGGAGAAAAGAAGGGAAGGGAAGGAGACTTTCCCAATTGGACAGAAGCTGAGGGAGTCAAGAAGCCCAGATAGGAAGAGAGAGTTCACAGCCTCAATAAACAAAGAGGAGAGGACAGGAATCCCACTTTATTGATCGGGACAGCAGGGAGTCCTTGAGTTTCTGGGTTTTTGGGAGAAAATGAGGGTTCTGAAGGGCTCCCAGGGCTGGAACTCTGCATACAGTAGGTTTCAGTAGACTTGTGTTTGTCAGTGTTACAGGTGGGCCCAGGCTCGAACCTCCCTCCTGGGGACTCTGCCAAAGAGGTACCTGGAGGTTTGTATTCAATAGGCCCCTAGGAACGAGGAGGCAGTCTCTGGTAGAGCTGAGAGTGAGAGAATGCTGGACATGATCAGGGAAGGGATCTCTTCAGGGTCTCAGAGGCCTGCAGAGCCACTGGGGATGTGTGCTCTGGGTTCACCATCTCTCCATTGGCAGGAATTACTCACAGCCCAGGAGCAGCCCAGGTTCCACTTTACCGTCAACTTCCCTTCTACTGCCCACAGGTCTGGGCATCTGGGACGGGAGGAAACTCTTGGGGTAGGTGAGAACATAGAATTTGCCAGCCTGAGCTCTTGACGCTACTCCTTATTGACATTGGTTTCCCCATAGACACAAACACACAGGAACAGACACTTGGGTGGGAAGCCAGAACAGCTTTATATTCAGTGATGTATAAATCATATGTATCAGGAAGAGGTGGGGTGCAGTGGGGAGCAGGGTCAGGTCCAGGGTCCTGGATGACCTTTCCTCAGAGGGGACAGTCCTGCTGCCTCCTCTCAAACTCCCTCCTCTGCCTCTCTGGGCCTGGCCTGGTGTGGACAGCTCAGCCATGCGGGTGGGGCTGGAAATACAGAAGGGATGGATGAAGCAGGAGAAGGGGTGAGGCAAGGCCGGCATGGGGGTAGAAGGGCTGCCCTGGGGCCCCTGAGTCCTCCCTCTCGTCTAGCCTGCTTCTTGCCCTTTGGAATAGGGCTCCAAACCCTGGTGAGGCTGATGGGGGCCTCCTGGGCTCCAGGCTGGTCACTGGGCTATGGCTTTTTTGTGGTCTGTGGCTGTTCAGTCCTGGGAAGGGAGAAAAGGGGTTGAAGGACTGATAGAGGATCTTCTTCATCACCACCTCCCCCCGAACCCTCACCCCATCCCTTCAGCTTCCTCACCTCTTACAGCCTTTGGAGTTCTTTCCCTTCTTACAGCGTGGGGCTGGTTTCCGTGGGACTGTTTTCCGTGGGGTTGGTTTCTGTGGGGCTGGTTTCTGTGAGGCTGGTTTCTGTGAGGCTGGTATTGTGTCCAGATGCTGCATCAGCTGCTGCACCCAGTCCTCCTTAGGGTCTGCACAGAGTTCTGGCTGAGAGCGCTTCCGAGGTGAGAACCTGGAGTCGGACATTAGAAAGCCTGTCCTAGTCTAGCCCACCATGCCCAACACATTCAGCTGCACCCACCCCTTGTACCCACTCACAGGATAGCTGGGATGGGGCAGCCCAAGCTTGGTTCCTGCTTCTTGTAGCTGCGAACAACCTTGGTGGGTATCTTCTTTCCACTGTACTTGAGGCAACAGTCCTGTGCCCCTCCATCACTGCCTGCAGGGTGGGATTCACAAGGAGCCAGGGGCTACTTATAGGCTCTCAACCAGGCATCTTGAGCCCCTTTCCACCATCCTAGGCAGCTCCCTCCTTGATACCTTGGGTCCAGGGGATGCAGAAGGCCAGGACCAGGAAAAGGAGGCTCAGAGCCAGTGACTGAGCCATGGCTGTCGTAGAGAGTGAGTATGAGGCCAGAGCTGTGGGTGAGGTGGACGCTGCAAGTTGGGGGTCCTGGAGTGTGTGGGCTATTTATATAGGCTGATACTTTCACTTCCTTATTTACAGTCATTCCATTGAGGGATCTTCCTCCTCTTCCTTTAGGATGTGCCCTAACAATATCCAACATGGCACACAGCCAAATTTCCAAGCTGCCAGAGCCTTTTTTTTTTCTTTTTTTTTTTTTGTTTGTTTTTTGTTTTTTTTATCCTCACTCGAGAACATTTCCTTTTTTTTTTTTTTTTTCAGATAGAATGGGAGGGAGGGAGAGAGAGGGAGAGCGATAGAGGGAAACATTGATGTGAAAGGGACACATCGAGTGGCTGCCACCCTCACAACCCAACCAGGACCAGGGACAAACTGCAACCGAGGTACATGCCCTTAGCGGGAACCGAACCCGGGTCTCTCTGGACCACAGGCTGACGCTCTAACCGCTGAGCCAAACCGGCCAGGGCTTTTCTTTTTTTTTTTGTAGAGTAATTTGAGTTTATTTGTAAGATATATAGTAGAACCTCAGTTCTCAAGCTTTATTTATTCCAGAAGACTGTTTGAGAAGAGATTTGTTAGAAAACCAATCATTTTTCCCATTAGAAATAAAGTAAATTGAGGGATCCAAATGGAAAGGAGGAAGTGAAACTGTCATTATTCACAGATGATATCATACTATACATAGAAAACCCCAAAGACTCCATCAAAAATTTACTAGACTTAATAAATAAATTTGGCAAAGTAGCAGAATACAAAATTAACGTCAAGAAATCGATGACATTCTTATACACAAATAATGAATTTACAGAAAGAGAAACTAAAAAAACAATCCCATTTACCATTGCAGCAAAAAAATTAAGATACCTAGGAATAAACTTAACCAAAGAAATAAAGGACCTATTTGAAAAAAACTACAGGACATTTAAAAAAAGAAATAGAAGATATAAAAATGTGGAAGCAGGAGATTCCAAAATGGCGGCGGAGTGAACAGAAGCTACACAGACCGTCTCCCAGAACCAAACTGGAATTACAACTATAACACAGACAAATCGACGGAAAAAACCAACAGTAAAGCAGCTTGCGAGGACCATACAACCAGGGGCACTGACTCGATCCTGGTAGGATTGAGAAGGTGCGAGACAGGGCGGGGAGGCCACGGTCAGCAGCTTGGCAGCAGCCTCAGCTGGGAGCGGCGCCCGCGGGTTACACTCCCAGGCAGCTGCAGAGCACAGAGCCGGGACAGAGGCTAAAAAAGTCACAGCCACTCACCTTGGGCTCCGGCAGAGGGAGGGCAGACTGGACTGGAACTGTGTCGGGACACTCGGGATTTGGAGGGCACTCAGAGCTTTTACTGAGTGGCAGCCACGCAGGACGGTGGCCATATTGCTCCTTCCTAGGGCTCTGGGGAGAGGCAGCAGCCCCTCCCTCAGAGATCCAACCCCACCCTGTGGGCCATTGAAGTGCTAATTGAAGTTCATTAACAACCAGCATCTGCCCCACGTAGTGAAATCCCCTTATGCTGAGAACCTGAGGGAGTTTTTCAATCAACTGACAACCCAAAACTCATCAAGTAACCTCGACTGCTAGCCTCCAGGCAAAAAGCTAGAGGATAACAGTACCTTTCCGGGGCTAGCAACTAACCAGGAAAGAAAGACTTGACAGTGGTGTTTAATGTGGGTCCTCTCTCGCTCATCTAAACCCAGGAGACGGAGCCACAAAAAGCAGAACACCAACACCCACAGGGAAAACTTGACAGGCTCCAAAGCCCACTGTGATAGCCAAAATGGTGAAACACAGAAACAGAAGTCAAATGAAAGAGCAAGAGACCTCCACTGAAGATGAGATCAATGTGGAGCAATTAGGCATGTTAACAGAGCTAGAATTCAGAGCCATGATCTTGAGGAAGCTCAACAGCATGAGTAAGGACATAGAGACGCTGAAAATAAGCCAACTGGAAATTAAAAACCATGAAGAAGAGTTAAAAAATGACATATCAGAAATGAAAAACACATTGGAAGATTTAAAAAGCAGAGTAGAGAAGCTGAGGACCAGATCAGTGAATTAGAAGACAGGTTAGAAAAAATCAACCAATCAGAAAACCAAAAGGAAAAAACAATTAAAAAACAGGAAGACAGCTTAAGAGAACTGTGGGACAACTGGAAACATAATAATATTCACATCATAGGAGTCCCCGAAGAAGAAGAAAATGAGCAAGGGATAGAGAATATATTTTTAAAAAAATAGTGACAGAAAACTTCCCTAATTTGGTGAAGGAAGAAGGCATTCAAGTTCAAGAAGCACAAAGAGTCCCAAGTAAGAAGAACCCAAACAGGCCCATACCAAGACACATAGTAATTAAAATGCCAAAAATTAAAGACAAAGAGACAATCCTAAAAGCAGCAAGAGATAAGCAACAGGTTACCTACAAAGAAAACCCCATAAAGCTCTCACAAGAAACACTACAGGCCAGAAGGGAATGGCATGAAGTAATCAAGGTCATGAAAAACAAAAATCTGCATCTAAGACTACTCTACCCAGCAAGGCTATCATTCAAATTAGAAGGTCAAATAAAGAGCTTCCCAGACAAAAAAAAAAAAGGCGAAGGGAATACATTAGCACCAAACCAGCACTGCAAGAAATGTTAAAAGGACTGCTGTAATTAGCAGTAGAAATGGGAAGAAAAATAGAACCACACTAAACAAAAATGGCAATAAATACATACATATCAATAATCACCTTAAATGTAAATGGATTGAATGCTCCCATAAAAAGACACAGAGTAGCTGATTGGATAAGAAAGCATGACTCATCTATATGTTGTTTACCAGACACCTAACTCACAACAAAAGACTCACATTGGTTGAAAGTGAAGGGATGGAAAAAATTTTCCAAGCAAATGGAAAGCAAAAAAAAAAAAAAGCTGGGGTAGCAATACTCATATCTGATAAAATAGATTTCAAAATGAAGGACATAACTAGAGACAAAGAAGGCCACTACATAATATTGAAAGGATCTATCCAACAGGAAGATATAACCTTGATAAACATATATACACCCAATATAGGGGCACCAAAATATATTAAAAATCTTCTGGAGGTCTTCCAAGGAGAAATCGATAGCAATACAATCAGAGCAGGGGACTTCAACACCCAGTTGACAGCACTGGATAGATCCTCTAGACAAAAAATTAGCAAGGAAATAGAGACTCTAAATGAAGCACTAGACCAAATGGATTTAATAGATATCTACAGAGAATTACACCCCAAAACTACAGAATATACATTCTTCTCAAGTGCACATGGGACATTCTCAAAGATAGACCACATGATAGGACACAAACTAAATCTCTACAAGTTCAAGAAGATTGAAATCATATCAAGCATCTTCTCCTATCACAATGGCATGAAACTAGAAATCAATTGCAACAAGAACATGCAAAGACATTTGAACACATGGAAGCTAAATAGCATGTTATTAAACAATGAATGGGTTACCGAGGAGATCAAGGAATAAATTTAAAACTTCCTGGAAACCAATGAAAATGAACACAAAACAACACAAAATCTATGGGATGCAGCGAAAGCAGTTTTGAGAGGGAAGTTCATAGCACTACAGGCCTACCTCAAGAAATAAGAAAAATTTCTAATTGACTGTCTAACCTCACAACTTAAAGAATTAGAAAGCAAACAAAAAGAAAACCCCAGAGCAAGTAGAAGGAAGGAAATAGTAAAGATCAGAGCAGAAATAAATGACATAGAGACCAAAAAAACAATTCAAAGGATCAATGAAACAAAGAGCTGGTTTTTCGAAAAGATAAACAAGATCGATGGACCCTTAGCTAGACTCACCTAAAAACAAAGAAAGAGAACCCAAATACACAAAATCAGAAATGAAAGAGAAGTAACAACTAACACCACAGAAATACAAAAGATTGCTAACAGCTACTACGAACAACTATATGGCAACAAATTCGACAATCTAAGTGAAATGGACAAATTTCAAGAAACACACAGTCTCCCAAAACTGGACCAGGAAGAGATAGAAAACTTGAACAGACCTATAACAACTAAGGAAACTGAAGAGGTAATCAAGACTCTCCAAGCAAACAAAAGCCCAGGCCAGATGGCTTCATGGGGGAGTTTTACCGAACATTCAAAAAAGAACTAACACCCATTCTCCTTAAACTATTTCAAAAAATTCAAGAAGAAGGAAGACTTCCAAACACGTTCTATGTGGCCAGCATAATTCTAATTTCAAAACCAGAAAAAGACACTACAAAGAAAGAAAACTACAGGCCAATATCCCTGATGGACATAGACGCCAAAATCCTGAACAAAATACTAGCAAATCGGATCCAACAATACATCAAAAAAATTATTCACCATGACCAAGTGGGATTCATTCCGGGGATGCAAGGCTGGTACAATATTCGCAAATTAATAAATGTGATACACCACATAAACAAAATGAAGAATAAAAACCACATGATCATATCAATAGATGCCAAAAAAGCATTCGACAAAATCCAGCATCCATTTCTGATAAAAATGCTCAGCAATGTGGGAAAAGAGGGATCATATCTCGACATAATAAAGGCCATATATGAAAGACCTACAGCCAACATCATACTCAATGGGCAGAAACTATAAACATTTCCCTTAAGAACAGGAACAAAACAGGGATGTCCACTTTCGCCACTCTTATTTAACATTGTACTGAAAGTCTTAGCCACAGCAATCAGACAGGAAGAAAAAATAAAAGGGATCCAAATTGGAAAGGAGGAAGTGAAACTGTCATTATTTGCAGATGACATGATATTACACGTAGAAAACCCAAAACACTCCATCAAAAATCTACTAGATTTAATAAATGAATTTGGCAAAGTAGCAGGATACAAAATTAATGTCAAGAAATCCATGGCATTCTTGTATACAAATAATGAACTCACAGAAAGAGAAACTGAAAAAACAATCCCATCGCGCCAAAAACATTAAGATACCTAGGAATAAACTTAACCAAAT